CTTTTTGTTTAAAATTATCCTTTTTGTTTAAAATTATCCTTTTTGTTATTGTACCTATCCTCTGAAAACCCAAGTTATCATAGTGGTATACTTTGGTATTTTGAGCTAAGATGACTTGTATGGTCCAGTGCAATATTAAATCAATTATTCAGACACCGTTCTACAAATACTTTGCTTTAATGCTGTTTGAGTTTATTAACACAGTGACAGAACCTACAATGGGCTGATAAATGTGATCCATGTGGTTTGGGGTTCAGTCCCTGATTATCTTTACTTTAAATTACCAGTGGTGAGGGCAATCTATTACAATAGGAACAGCTTACTTCTTCTGAATGCTCTCTCCTCACTACTTTTGCTGTAAAAGGTAATTTGCTGAAAATGTCATAACTATTCTTTGCCCTTTGCAGATATCCCCAGTGACATTTAAAGGAGGTGTGGCAATTTATTGGAATAAATCAAGTATTTGGATAGTATTTTTCTTTAAAGTGGAAAGTGTTTTGGTGACTGTGTATCTTTTAAATTAGCAAAAGAGATCAAAATTGGATAGTTAGAGCTTTTCAATGTCTTTTTTTCTAATTTAGTAGCAATAAACAATAAATGAATGCAAAATTGATACGAAGTGAAGTTGATTATTTGGTGTCTAACAAATATTCCAATTTTTATTTCAGCAGCAGGCCAGCAAGATGGAAAAGCTGAAGAGGTACCCCTTAAACAGTTTAACTGGGGTTTTCATTCCAAATGATTGGTGGTTATAAGCTTCTCATAGATTTAAGTTACAAAGATTAATTTTGATTTCTGTTATAGAGTCCTACAGCACGGAAACAGACCCTTTGTTCCAACTAGTCCATGCTGAACATAATCCCAAACTAAACTAGTTCCACCTGCCTGCTTCTGGCCCATCTTCCTCCAAACCTTTCCTATTCGTATATCCATTCAAATGTCTTTTAATTGTTGTAATTGTACCTGCATCCTCCACTTCATCAAGAAGTTCATTCCACATATGAACCACACTGTTTTAAAAAAAAAAAAATGCCTCATGTCTTCTTTAAATCTCTGTCCTTTCACCTTAAAAATGTGTCCCCTGGTCTTGAAATTCCCCATCTTAGGGAAAAGAAAACTACCATTAACTCTGTCTATACCCCTCATTTTATAAATTTCTATCAGGTCTCCTCTCAGCCTTCTACACTCCAGTGAAAAATGTCCCAGCCTATCCAGTTTTCTTTATAACTCAAACTCATTATTTTGTAAACTTCTGTCAGGTCACCTGTCAACCTCCTTTGCTCCAGTGGAAAATAATTCCAGCCATTCCTTATAACTTGACCCGCCCATACTTGGCAACATCCTGGTAAGTCTCTTTGGAACCCTCTCCAGCTCGATAATATCCTTCCTATAACTGGCTGACCAGAACTGGACACAGTATTCCAGAAGAGGCCTCACCAATGCCCTGTACAACCTCAACATAACGTCTCCCAAGTCCTATACTCAAAGGACTGAGCAATGAAGGCAAGTGTGCCAAATGCCTTTTTAACCATCCTGTCTATGTGATGCAAACTTCAAAGAATTACGCACCTGCACCTTTAGGTCCCTTGGTTCTACAACGTTGTCCAAGGCCCTGCCATTAATTGTATAAGCCCTAGCCTTGTTTGTTGTACCAAAATGCAATACCTAGCATTTTATCCAGATTGAACTCCATCTGCCATTTTCAGCCCATTGACCCATTTGATCAAGATCACTTAGAAAACCTTCTTCACTTTGTTCTTTGCATTCTTTAAATTTCCAGCTTTTGGCCCCTGATTGTAGATTCATCCATGCATTCTTTGCTGGATTCCCTTCGTCTCAAGATGCTGCAGTGTTTTTCTGTGAATTCTGGCTTTTCTTTTTTGCTTGAATCCTGATTAATTTATGAAGGCAAAATACTATGGCTGCTGGAAATCTGTGGTAAAAACAGAAATGCTGGAAGTGCTTAGGTCTTGCAACAACCAGAGAGAGAAGTAAATGTTAGAGGAATGAGAATTTTCCACCATTTGGTGGAATTTTCACTTTTGAATAATGAAACTTTTTCCTTTGTGCTGCCAAATCTAGTGCCACCTCTTTATCCAGGGAAAGATGAAGCAGAAGAATGAGCTTATAAGAATCTCAAAAAAAGTAATACTTTAAGAATCTTAAAGGAGGATAGTAAGTACAAGAGTTAAACACAAAAGGAAATTACGAAAACAAAGACAGGATGAGAAAATAAATTGGCTGGTAAATTTTAGGAAAATCTGAAGACATTTTTAGCAGTGAGTTAAGAGCAAGAGGGTGACAAGGTTAAGCCTATCAAATGCACATGATAACTTGTACATGATTGCAGGGTTTTAAATTAATATTTTGCCGCTGCCTGCACAAAAGAGGCATGATGCAAGCATTCTGGTTACAGAGCTCTATGAAGTATCAGATAAACTAAGCATAATTAGAAGGGCAGTACTGGCCGGACTGAATAAATCAGCACGGCTAGATAAATTGTATCCTAGCTGTTAAAAGAAACTAGGAAGTAGATAGTGTCTGATTTCCAATTCTTACTAGATATGGGTGAGGAACCAAAGAATTAGAGATCTGTGAACATTGTACCATTGTTCAAAAAGGATGTGATGGGTAGGCCAAATAATTACAGGCTGGTCAGTCTGACCTCTTGTGGACAAGTTACTGATGTCAGATTTGAGATAGGATTAACACTTCCTTTGACAGGCACAGCTTTATCAAGGATAGTTAGCATGGTTTTGCTGAGGGAAGGTTCTGTCTTACTAAATTTTTTTTGAGGAAATAAATGGCAAGAAAGATTGATGGTAATGTAGTGAATCTTGTCTACGTGGATTTTAGTATGGCCTTTGATTAGATTCCACATGGTAGACTGATCAGTAAATTTTAAAGCCCATGGTATACAGGGAATTGTGATGTGTTGGTTCGAAACTTGGATCAGTGACAAGAAACAAAGGGTACTGGTTGGTGGCTATTTTAATGAATGGAAAGCAGTTTTCAGTGATGTTCCACAAAACTCTTGTCTCCTTTGTTTCTTGTAGTATAAACTACTAATGTAAATTAAAATGTGGGAGATGATGTTGAGAAATTTGCTGATGACAAAAGCATTGACTAGATATAATTCAATGAAGATGACTATCAACAGCAGGATTATATAATCTTGATTGAGCGGGAAAGTGGCAAATGGAATTCAGTTCAGAGTAGTAAGTTCAAGGTTACATATTTGGGGAATGTAAACAAAACAAAGGTGTACAAAATAAGCAGGACGGTATTGAGTGGGATAGAGAAAGTGAGAGACCTTGGAGAGTCTGTGCAAGGTGGTGCGGAAGGCAAATGGGATGCTTTACTTCATTTAGGTTAGTCACTAAATATATAAACAGAGATGTGATCCTGGAATTATGTTAGGCCGCAACTAAAGTTTTGTATACTGTTCAGGTGGCCGCATTACTGGAAGGACAGAATTGCTGTAGAGAGAGTACAGAGGAGATTTTTTAAAAATTGCCAGGGCTTGAACATATGAACCAAAGCTGGGGTTATTCTCCTTTGAGCAGAGCCAGCTGAGGGGTGACTGTAGAGGTGCATAAATAATGGGGGGGGCAGCGATAGAGTGGACAGGGAATACCTATTTACCTTCATATGGAAGCCACGTACCAGATGGCACAGTTGAGGTAATTGGTTGAAGGATTAGAAGGGAAATAGAATTTAACTGAGGGTGATGGGTGTCTTTAATTAGTTGCTCAGTTTGGTAGTTGAGGTAGAAACCTTCACCTTCAAGGAAATGGATCCACATCTGAAGCGCTAAATTGTGCAAAGCTTGTGGGCCTGGTGATGGAAAGTAAGATTAGAATGGACAGTTGGTTTATTTACCTAGTTCAGACTTGTGCTGCAAGGAGTTCTCCCCTGTATTGTAACTATTGTATGGTTCTATTTTCCCTTAAATTTTTTTTGACTTTGCCATCTCCCCTTGGCCGCCGTTGACCCCATTGTGTCAAAGTGCAAAAAAGCTTTGTTATTAATATAACCACAAATATGGCAGAGAGTAGCATGCTGTCTACAGATGGAGAATGTTTCTTGGAATATCCGTACTGCTTTGAAATTTCATGTTCTATGTAATACTTAGTTTCTCATCCAAGCGCATTTGTGAGCCAAGCAAATGTTAATGTTCCAGGCAAACTCCGCAACGATCTAGATCCCAGAATTATTTTCAAGTTGGGTATTACCTGTTGGTACTACTGCACTCTGCTCATGTGTTTGTGCAGCAGTTCAATTTTAATTAGCCTAAGATACATGCCATTTGCCCTTTAGCTCATTTTGATATTGAAAAATCAAAGCCATTCTTTCTGCAGAAGTTAACTTTCTTGGTTCAAGGTTTACATTTCAGAATTTAGCTTGCTCCTTTTAAGTTCTTTTGTAAATTGTTATACCAACTGATCCATACATCAAGCATGGGTGTAGTCAACATCTGTGAGCCAACTTTAGCTGTTTAAGTAGATTTGTGTTGTCTTGGACATGCTATTATCTCTTGTGATTAGCCTCAATTAGGAGAAACAAGTAAACTTGATATCATTGCAAAATATAGAGTTGAGTATTTAATTACTTGTTGAAATAATGTGCTGTGTTTTTATTTTTCTCTCCATTGCAACATTCTTCGGCCCTGCAAACAGATATGTACACAACAGAAGGCAGTACCAAAAGTAAAGTAAGTTTACCAGTATGAGTTACTACAACAAGCTCTTCTAGTGGTTTTTGGAAATAAGAATGCCCATTGAATAAATAGTTAATCTTAAATGTTAATGTACATACAATAAGTGCTATTACATGATGTGTTGAAATTGTTGTACATTATTTATACCAGTGACCTGAATCTGTTGCCTACAGATTGAAGTCAAGCCTTAATGCTGCTTCAGCTTTTTCTTGTAATGTATTTGAAAAAGTGTTTAATGCAATCCTTGATATTCCTTACTATTTCTTTCTCCTACTTTTTTCTGGCAGTTGTTGCTATTTATCTCTTGTTATTTATTTCCCTCCTAGTTCATGTTACTGCCACTCAATTTTACATTTGTGTATTTCATTTATTTTGGTTTTATAGCATCTAATCTCATTGGTTAACCAAAGTTGGTTAACTCCAAGTTCTTGCACATGATCACAAAAAGGCTGGACTTCTACTAAGTATTTCTCTTAAATGTTTGTGTTCACTGGTAGTGTTGCCACAGTTCACTGTGGTCAATGGTTGACTAAGTGCTTTAAACCCAGCCATATTCAAATTTTAAACCTCAGTCAGCCGTGGGCTTCAAGTGCTTGTTAGGTGTCAGCGGACTGTGGGAAATAGATGGAGAATATCTTTGAGACCAGCCATATTTACAACAGCCTTCATAATTAGGCAGGATGCATTAGTTACCCCATTTGGTTGTTGTCTCATATGTTTCTAATTGGATGATGTTTTGAACTGAACCGTTATGGTAGAAATTGATCCCAGTTTTTACTGTGAAAGGATAAACCCTGCAGCATGGAGCAGAAGGAAAACTGTCTAAACATTGGAAATATACAAAATATTAACTATTCTAATGTTAAAAGTCAATTTGATTTGGGCATGTGTTCCTTAAAGAGTCGTACAGCTCGGAAACGGACCCTTCGGTCCAACTTGTCCATGCCGACCAAGTTTCCCAATCTAAACTAGTCCCATTTGCCTGCGTTCGCCCCATATACTTGTCACCCTCTCCTATTCATATACCTGTCCAAATGTCCTCTAAATATTGTAACTGTATCTATATCTCCCACTTTCTCAGGCAATTTATTCCACATACAAATCACCCCTGGTGTGGAAAAAATTGCCCCGTGGATCCTTTTAAACCTTTCCCCCCTCACCTTTTTTTTTAAAAGCAAATTAAATTTTGAACTTCTCTACCCTCGGGGAAAGGCTTTTGTTATTCACCTTATCTAGACCCCTCATGATTTTTTTAAACCTCTACAAGGCCATCTCTTAGGGACCAATGGGAAAAAAGTCTCAGCCTGCCCTCATAACCCCCACCCACCAGTCCTGATAGCACCCTTTAAATCTTTTCTGTACCCTGTCTAATTTAATAATATCCTTCCTATGGCAGGATGACCAGAACTGTACTTGTTGAAAGTGGATTTAAGACCCAAGTTTGTTTTTGCTCTTTACGGCTGCTGACTCCCCTGTTTTTCTAGCAATTTCTAATTATCTTGCAATAATAGAATTCCTCTGTCTATCTGACAACTTGACAGACTTAGGGTTAAGATTGGATGGCTAGTCGAGGGCATTCGGATTATACCTGGTTGCCATGTCTCCAGAATCTTAAGAAATCTGCAGTTTGCTATCTGAGAGGAAAAAGTAACGTTGAACTGCTTAAGAGATTCTTGAGTAGATTGTCGCGACCTCTAACTAGAATATTATAAACGCCAGGTCAGAATCCTACAACAAATGTAACACTTTCACAAAAATGAAAAGTCAACCCATTAAGTTAGGTGAGCCTGCCAGAAATGTAACCAAAAAAAAAGCATTGTTTAGTTATATCCCAGCCCATAGCAGAGATTATAGAGGTACAGCAATTCTAAAATAGCTACTTGGAATTGATTATTTCACATGGATACACACTATTTATAACATTTGAGTTGACAGTCAACCATTAGCTTCTTGTGTTGAGTGCTTGTTACAGTATAAATCAAATAATTGGTTCTGCATCATGTGCTGAGCCCACGTATATGTTCAAATATTATGCATGTTGAAATCAAGCATTTTGTACAAATGAAATCTACGTTATTGTGCATATACAGCTTTATTTTTCAAATAAATTTATTTTATCATTAATGTGTTTTCACTTAACTCCTTTGAAACATGAACACAGGAAAACTGAATTTGATTATCTAAAAGTGTTTTTTCCAATTATTTTAACACTTTGTCTCAATTCAAATTTGGTGCAAACATTTGATAATACTTAAACTGAAGTATGCAATGCTGTTTTGCGCTCCTACTACATATTTTCCCCTTATATTTTTGATGATGGATTTTATAGATTATATTGCCACACCAAGTTTTCATTCTCCTTCCAATTTTGTCATAATGGCTTGATATCAATTTCCTTAGTACATCTGCAAAGTATCTTGGGGCTTTTCTTCATTTTGAACTTTGCCGCAAAATATGTAAATTAATTTTGATTAAAAATATTGATCTGCATTTTAGTTTTGATAGTGAGCTCTTGTTTAATATGCCACATTTACATTTATTCTTGCACTGATATGTATATAATGCAGGACTATTTGTAGATCTGTAAAATTCTTTTCTAGTATTATGCTATTTTGAGCTAAATTTCATCACCAGCAACAAATAAACTATTCTCCTCTGAACTGCAGAATGAGATTGCATTAAATTTACATTTGACTGTTCCAGCTGATAACAAAGTCTAACTGCTCAGTAGCTGGCAATAGTAAGTGACCAATTAATGAAGAAAAGTTACTGATTGACCACCAAAATGCACTTTGTTCAAATGTCTACCTTTTAGTAGTTTTAAAATTAAGCTGAATTACTGTTTTATTTAACTTGTGTCTTAATTTGGAGGCTAGAAGAAGTCAGATGATTCGTGTTCTGGAGATGTATTCTTTGTGGGCAGCATAGAGTTCATAGTTAAATGTACGCAATTCTTACTCGCAAACTAATTTTTCAGTGGTAAAATATTGGAAGAATTCTTGCCGTTCTGCAGTGTTCAGATTGTTGCCTCCTGCCTGTTGATGGAGCTGTTTCTCTTCAGATCATTTGCAGCCTCTGTTAATCTAAACTGTTAATATTTATACATTGCCTTTTGACAGCCCAATTGTTGTGAAATGATTGTTTAGATTTCTTGTGGGAAGTGTTGAAGGTACTCTTTCTTCCCTTATGGATAATAGAATTAATTTACAGTTCAGTATAGTATTAACCCATTTAAATTAGATAGAAAAATATTGATTTGTTTTATTAAACACAATACAAACCAAAAACTAGTTTTAATAAGTCACCTGAATTATTGTTCAATAGTTCACCATTGTATTTAGTCTGTACCAGTTGAAGGATTTATTGTCTTTTGAGAACAGAGATTTGCAGTAAAATATAATTAAGTGCAGTATTCTCTCCCGTCAATTTTTTTTGTTGTACACAAAATCGACATTTCATATCCTTTGCTGCTTGAAGTTGTGTTGATGCAGTTAATTTTTGTTACCTGTCTATTCAAGTTGACATTGAAAGAGTAAGAGTATACGCCAGCTAACCCCTTGGTTGGTTGTAATTTTTTAAAGGTCTCACTTCAGCTGTCAAAAGCAGAGGGTCTAGGCCCGAAACATCAGCCTTCCTGCTCCTCTGATGCTGCTTGGCCTGCTGTGTTCATCCAGCTCCACACCTTGTTATCTCATGTTTACCATGGGGTTTTCCAACCTGAACCACAACCTCAAAACATGACTGAGTTTTAACAGCTGTGCGGCCCCTTTTAAATCCTCACACATTTTGTAATGATAGGTGAGGCTTAATTTACCAGTCATTGAGGTCTGATTGCTGCTCCCAAAAAGCCACTATAAAGATGAGATCACAGTGAAATCAAGTTTGATGAGTATTAGATTATCATCTACAAGATGTAATGTTGCACTTCCCAAATCAAGGATCTCTCCCCTTAAAAGTACAGTGGTTGAAAGTTTGCCAATTCATACCACACGTAAGTTCCTCTCCAAGTCAAAAAGATCGTTTCATTGTTGCCAATCGCAATCCTGGAGCTCACTCCAAGAGGAATTTATTTCCAGAATACGAATGCACTGCAACAATTCAAAAAGCTAGTTCAAGACCAGCTAAAAATGGGCACTGCATGTTGACCGTACCAGTGATGATCAAAACTGGTGAATGAATAGGCAGAAAATAAGTTGGATGAGGTTGTGCAACTTCACTTGTTTTTGAATCAATGTATCTTTTTCTTTAACGCAATAATGTTGGCAACAGGTTTTCTGTACAATAAATGTCCAAGTGAGTAAACTTAATCAGCTATATCTTTAATATGATACTACTTGATTTTTGTATCAAATAATACACTTATGTATACTGTAATTTGTATGTCTTATTTCAACCAATATTGTAATCTTTCTTTCACTTTTGCTAGCATATTCATTTGTATATGTTCCTACAAATAACCTTTTATTTGCCTAATTTTGGAAATGGCAAGCTCACGTGCATGAATTAGGAGCAAGAGTGCGGCATTTAGCGCCTCTAACTTGCTCTTCCGTTCAACAGGATCATGGCAAATTTGATTGTGGCCTTAACTCTACGGTTGTATGTACTCCCAATAACGACTGACTCCATTGTTAGTCAAGAACCTATCTACTTCTGCCCTAAAAAGAAAAAAAACATCAAAAACCATGCCTCCATTACTCTTGTTGGAAGGGAGTTCCAAAGAGAGACTCCTTGGGGCGAGTACCCATCTCTCAGTTTTTAAATGTAAGACCCTGATTTTTAAGCCATATTTCCTAGTTCGTTGTTCCACAAAGGAAATATCCCTTTAGCATCCATCCTGTCAAGTCTCCAATTACATGGGTACCAGTTCAAAAATTTTTAACTGCATTAGTTGCAAACCTTTATGCACAAAATTATCCCTATACAAAAAACTGAAAGTTTGGTCAGGTTTGTTGCTACTTCCTAGAAATAATGCAGCCCACTTATAAATTATTTTACAGCCAGTCTTATATGCTGATATGTTAGTAATGACAAACTGAGGAGTAGTTTTTCATGAATGATAGACTAGCATAGACTCCAGCATGGTTTATGTTTTGCGTCGTGAAATATTTCCGATGCTTCTATTTGAATGGAAATAACTGTGTCCTGGATGCCAGCATCTGTTTACAGATGCATATCCGAAGACTTAACACTGATTGCAAAAGGAGAATGTAGCTTCATTGTCAATATTGATGATCTGTTACATAGCAACATGTCAGCTCTTTTTCAACAATTGCCATTTAAAGTATTTCATTCTTTGAAATTAAATCTTTGCATACGGAATAATTTTCAAAAATGAGAGTTTGTCTTTAATCATGTTATTTTAACATTTGTGGGTATTCCATTCAGAAAAACTGCTCGTACCAGTTAAGTGGGGATGTATAATGGAGCTGTCATACCTTGATGGTCAATAATATAACTGTTATTGGCAGAGAATTTAGTTAGAAACTAAGGGGCTGCTTAACTGCTTAATCTGTTTTAATTGTTAAATATAAGTTAAATTATTTTTTAAAAATTAATTTAAACATTTTTTAATTTTAGACATGATTGGTATCAGACAGATTCTCATGTTATCATCACAATAATGATCAAGAATGCAAGCAAAGATGCTGTGAACGTCGAGTTTTCAGAAAGAAGTGTAAGTGTCGGAAGTACTTAGTAGCAAATGCTGCACTTGGGATGAGCAAAATGCCTTCTTCATGTGAACCCAGAGATATGTTCTAACTTGGACATTTTAAGTAATGGTATGGCACTGAAAGTATTTTTGATGTGTGCATTGTCATGACACTCCATCTTATTTCTAAATCTTTCTTTATGTTTATAATTTCTAATAAATGCAGTATTATGCAAAATTTTTTCAGTTTATTAGTGATTTTTTGGCTTTTACATTTAGAGCCATTAACAAAAATTGTAATCAATCTTAAAACAACAGTGGAAGAGTTTTCTAAATTGCATGCAGATGTGCTTTTGACAGGTGCTTGTGCTCTGCTTTGATTAAATCTGTTAATGCAAATGGATCATAAAATTAATTACAATTTATTACAAAATGATCAAGAAGGTAAATGAAGTCTAATAAATTAAACTCAATTATCTATTGGCATTGTGTGCTCCCTGCTCAATGTGGTTAGAGGTGTTTTGTATTTGAGAAAGATCAGTGCAATTGGATTTATTTTCTATGTTGATACCTGCATGTACACCAGCTACTTAAAAATTGGGAGAAATTCATACTCCTGGTTTATACTTCAATTCTTAGCAGAACCATTCTCTGCATCCAAAGCTGATTGTGGGAGTTGTTTCCTTGTCTGGTTGCTATGAGCATGAAGGCCATGATTCCAACTGTGGAAGCTGTGTTGTTTAACTAAATTCTCTTCAGCTATCTTGTGTTAGCTAAAAACCACTGTCAACCATTTTGTTATCTACAGCCATGGGCGACTCCAACAGCCAGCAGTTATGCTGATTGCATGGAATTGCTGTGCTTCACCAGTGAATTGCTTGTTTCACTAGTGTTTAAACATAATGTTACTGTGTCAGACGTGCTGAGAATGGAGTAAAATTTGCTGTACTATCAGTTGAAAATTATGTTGAAGTTATTAATCTCACTAAGCCTTGTAGAAATGTTTCTTTTAAACTCTAAATTCTCTTGATTCAAGAGAAGCTAGCTGGTCACACAATTAAAATAGTCGCTAAAGCATACTGCCTTATTCACGTATTTTCACCTGCTCCTGCTTTAATTGGCTCTGTTTAAAGCTGCCAGGGTGCTGCATTGAATCATACAACAGTCTCATCAATTTGTTGAAATTGAGGATCTAAAGTTTCTTTTGGACCCCACTGAAATATTAACTTTGAACTGAGCAAGGCAATCACTTCATTCATTTAAAAAAAACATAGCATAGGAAGCAAAAGTGCTAAGAGGCAAGTTTTAAAACTCCTCCAGGGGCGTGGAAGAGCCATCCATCTGTAGGCCTTCCAAAGAAATCCTTGATCTTCATAGCCTAAGGCTTTCTTATTGCTACCACTTGTGAAAGTCAGTTGAAGCTTTGATAGTGTATAAATTGATTCATAGCTTGCTGAGCGGTAGTGTTTTTTTTTGCATAAAACAATTCTCCTCTGCCCTGTCTGACTCATTGTAATTAATTTTAAACTCAACTAATTGAGAGGGGAGCTGGGTTGGGGGTGTATGTGAGCTAAGCTTACTTGCAATTTGCTTTAAAACTTGCGCATGGCAAAACAGTAAGGACTGAGGTTTGTTGTTGGTAATTATAGATGTTGAAATAAGTATGCATTTTTTGCCTGCTTCCTACAGATTGCTTTCAAAGGAAAATTGAATAGGATTAATTTGAATGAATGATTTGTAATTTATTTTCATAGGTGAGTGCAACAGTGAAGCTTTCACCAGAAAATGATTACAATTTGAAACTCAGCCTTCTGCATCCCATAGTACCTCAGTATTGCACAGTCAAAGTGCTTGGAACAAAGGTACGATCCAACAGAAATTGAATTGGTGATGCATTTTGAATAGGATGTAGAATTGTGCTAAACCAGTAGAATGGCCCTTTAAAGTAATCATTTATATTGTTCTTTAAATTTTCTGGAGGACTTCTTGTTTCTTTAGCTGTTATGTAATTATTTTGCCATACTTGTGTTAACAGTATGAATAAGGCAGGAGTTTTGAATAGTTGATCCTTTAGCGCTTTCAGATTAGTGTATTAAGAGCAACTTTGAACATCGGATCAGTAATTAACTGGAAAGAACTTGGTTCTCTATGGGCGGTGCGCTGGCACAGCGGTTAGCACTGCTGTCTCAGCGCCAGGGACAGTTCAGTTCCACTCTTGGGTGATTATGTGTAGCTTGCACATTCTTCTTGTGGGATTCCTCCCACAGTCCCAAAGACGTGCATGTTAAGTAGATTGCCTATGCTAAGTGTTCAGGGATGTGCAGGTTACGTGAGTTAAATCATGGTTTAAAAACCCCATGCAGGGTTAGGGTGGGATGAGGGTTATGGGCTGCTTGGGTTGCTGTTCAGAGGGTCAGTGCAGACTCAATGGGCCAAATGGCCCCTTTGTGTGTCAAAAGGATTCTATGTATCTCCAGTAGTAAATAGTGATTGACCATACTGCCTCACTGTTATAATTTCAAAACAGAATATTTTAATGTATTTTAATTTTAAATATTTAATGTAACACTTAAATATTTTTAACTCTTTAAATATTTTGATGTAACTCTTCACTTAAGAGTCAATAGTCAGTGTGTTGGTTCAATTTTCCTTTGATTCCACATATTATTAAGTACAATACCAAGGTACCAGTGGGTAATTATAAACATCTAATGATACTGTTTAACCCTTCAGCATCAATATGTTGAACAGAGACCTGTTGAACTCTCTTTTATAAGGAACCAAAAAGCTTGGAGTCTAATTGCTTTTTAGAATCAGCAGAAGACCGTAAGATGTGGAGCAGAATGAGTCCATTTGACCTATCGAGTCAGCTCTGCCTTTCAATAATGGCTGATATGCTTCTCAACCTCATTCTGTTGCCTTCCCTCCATAACCCTTGATCCCCTTATTAATCAAGAACCTATCTATTTCTGTCTTAAATGCACTCAGTGACTTTGCCGCAGAAGGCTGTGGAGGCTATGAGTTGCACAGATTCACCACCCTCTGGCTGAAGACCTTCCTCCTCATCTCAGTTCAAAAGAGTCATCCCTTCATTATGAGGCTGCACCCTTGGGCGCTACTAGTGGAAACATCTTCTCCATGTCCACTCTACCAGGCCTCTCGATATTCTGTAAGTTTCAGTCGGATGCCCCCGCATCCTTTTAAACTTATTCAAGCACAGACCCTCAGTCCTGAACCACTCCTGTGACAAGCCCTTTGTCCCTGTGATCATTCTTATAAACCTCTTGTGGACCCCTTCCAACACCAGCTCATCCATCCTTCGATATGGAGTCCAAAAATGCTCACAATGTCCAAATGCAATCTGACCAGATCCTTGTAATGCATTGGCAGTACATCTCTGTTCTTGTGTTCCAGCCCCTTTTACATGAACGCTAACAATGCATTTGCCTTCCTAACTGTTGTATTAATCTGTATGTTAACCTAAGACCTTTCTGAACTCAGACTCTTAAATCCCTTTGTGCTTCACATTTCTAAAGCCTTATGCCATTTAGAAAATAATCTATCTCTATTCTTCCCACTAACGTGCGTAACCTCATGCTTTCCACATGATGTTTCTTGTACCACTTCTTTTGCCCATTCTCCTAGCCTGTCCAAGTCCTCCTAGAGCCTCCCTGCTTCCTGAACGCTGCCTGTCCTCCACCTATCTTTGTGTCATCTGCAAACGTAGCACCTTAGCAGACTCTTCACCTGACAAAGGAAAAGCACTCTGAAAGCTTGTGATTTCACTGAACTGTAACTTGGTGTCATGTGACTTCTGACTTTGTCAATTCTTTGTGCAGGTTATTAATATAAACTTGAATATTTGTCATCCCAGAACTCCACTGGTCACTGCTATTCTGAAAAAAAAACCCTTTATCCCCACTTTCTGCCTTCTGCCAGTTAACCAGTTCTCTATCCACGCCAGTACTTTGCCCCTAACACCATGGGCTGCCTTTTATTTAGCAGCCTCCGGTGAGGCACATTGTCAGATGCCTTCTGGAAATCCAAATAGATCATGTCCGCTGCCCATTGTCTAACTTGTTCGTTACTTTCTCAAAGAATTCTAACAGATTTGATGGGCATGACCTCCCCTTGATTGAAATTGTGCTGACTCACCCTGATTTTGCTATTTACTTCCAAGTACTTTGCAGCAGGGACTTTGTGTTTCTGTTCCTTGTGCACCTATTTTTCCAGCTGTCAGAAACTCCTTTGCTGAAATCTGATGTAGATTCCGAGTGAGTTGTCTTGCTAAGATTTTTGCCTTGTTTTATACTCATCTTCCACTTGCTCTCCAGCAAATACTTAGTCTAACGGACACCAGTGAAATTTTTCTTGTATCAAAATATGAGAACAGTGCAGATGTATGGATTGGGAAAGTAGTCAAGGCTTTGGAAGTGGGTTCTCTTCCCTTCTACCTTTTTCCTTGTCTCTTTATTAATATTGAATGCATTTTGGAGTCTGCTTGAAAACTCCTGACCAAGTGGCTGACAGATGATTTCTATCATCACTGTGGCAAAAATTGCGCAAATCCTGCTAATTAGAAACATGAATCATTTTATTTGTGCTTCTACATAGGTCAAATATTCAGAAGTCTCTCTCTCCCCTACCCTGCCCCCCTCGCTCGCTCGCTCTGCCCTGCCCCCCCTCCCCCAATCGTGCTCGCTCCCGCTCTCTTGCCGCCGCCTCCCCCACACCCCGCCCCCCCAATCATGCTCGTTCTCTGAGGACCTTTGAACATTTTTCTGTAAACCCAAGATTGCAGATATTTAAGTGCTTCTAATTGGCCAGGCAGATTGCTCAGCGCACTGACCTCTGTTCATTTGTATAAATAAATCACTTGGCTATATGCAGAAGCTTCATGACATTTAATTCTCATCTTATAACTACAAATACCAAGGCAACCTATCAAGCTTTAATACATTTGAATATTTGCTTAGTGTTCTGTCTGTTATTGAAGTTTATCTAGCTCAGTAGTTACACCTATATTTGTGTTTCATATCTAACACCATGTCTCTGATCCCTGCATGAAAACTCTTGTTTATGAAACTAGACTTGGCTTGTGGTTTCCCAAGAAATCTCTTTAATTGTCGTGATGGGTCATGCTTTAATGAGAGATTGTGGTCACTGAAGAAAAATGTCACTTTGTGGAGTCTTCTCAAATGATGTCTATTATAGATACCTGTGACACCTGAACTTGAATTATCCTTTTTTTAATAAATTACCATAGAAGCCTAGATTGCTAGCAGGAATGATGGGTAGTTCATATTTGATCAGTTTTATCATGTCACGTATGCGAGATTTATATTTGAAGCCTTTTTTTGGAAGGCTCCCTCCCAAAAGTCTGTTTACTACTTGCTTTTAAACAAAATTTGTTCTTTGGTTAAATTCAGAACTTTAATTGATGCATATTTTAAGCTTTACAGATATTTGGAAGAATCCAGATTACTATAAGCAGATAATCTATGCTTTAGACTGCATGTGCATAAGCAAATAATATTTGTGATATCAGTTTTTTCTGTGGGTGTATCTATTTTCAACTATAAAAAGGTCAGACTGGCATTTAGTGTCTTTAAGAACCTCTGAATCTCAAATAGTTTATGACAAATGAAGTACATCTTAAAAAAAATTACACTCTGACCATGGGTACACTAACAAAACGAATGGTTATTGCTGATCTTTCATGCTTAAGGAAAAAAATCATTTCCTTATATCCATGTTGTGAACTTGTTCCCACAATGCTGTTAGGTTGTGCGTTATAGGATTATGACCCAGTAAAAATGGAAAAATGAATATGTCCATTTCAGCATAGTGTGAGTCATAAGTGAGAACGAAGAACCAGTGTTATTGACATGGACCTATTGCTGTCCTAGGTGGTAGAGGTCAAGTGTTTGGGAGGCACTGTTAAGAAAAGTCTTGGTGAGCTTTTGCAGTGCATCCTGTGGATAAGATGCACTGCAATCCCTGTGTGCCAGTGGAATAGAGAAGGGATTAACTGTGTGGTGTTGAATGGAGCACTGACCAATACCTTGTCTTGCCTACTGTAGAGCTTTGTATGTTGCCAGGTATCACTCACACTTCCTGATCTGTTTTGAAAGTCTGGAAGTCAGCCGTGCACTTCAGAATACCAAGCTTCTGACCTACTCTGTAACAGACTTGATACTTCTGTAATTAGCCCTGTAAGGATTTTTATCACTGGTATGACTTCAAATATTGATGTTGGAGATTTTTTGATGGTACAGAACAGTAAATGTTAGACTGTCTTGTTGGAGGTGTTCATTACTTGGCACTTGCATGGCGAAAATGCTACTTATTACTTATCATCTTAACCACAGTTGTTGACCTGATCTTGATACATGCGAGTATGCGCAGTGGCCTTACTGATATCTGAGGGATGAGATAATTGACATCCAGCAACCATAACTACCTTTTATATGCAAAATATGACTCCAGCCACTGAAGACTTCCCCTGATCCCCACCTGCTTTGGTTTTACTTGGGCGTGTGGTGTCACAGTTTGTTGAATCTTAGGGTAGTCACTTGTTTGCCAGGAATTCAGCCATTTTGCGCTTGTTTAGGTCAAGGCTTTAATGTTGCCCCAAGTTGAGTGGTTCTGGTGAAGTCCAAACTGATTTTTAGTCAGTGAGTAAGTATTGTATGGTATTTACTTCTGCCAACTCAGTCCATTATTCTGATTTAGACTGGACTGACACTTGGTCAGATTAAATTTTAAATCCTAGAAGCTCACATCACTTGACATGGTAATGTGTCTTCTTGAATCATTAATGCCCCAGTGGTGGTGTGACATCCATCATACTGTCAGAAAG